TGTGGGAAAAAGACTCATAATTCACAAAAATTTCTATTGAGAGTTCCATTAGGTTTTCTTAGTGTACAGGCTGTGATCAGCTGACCTGTTGCTCTTTGTGGATGTACACAAATGAATTCAACAACATGTCAGTAGTTCTGGCTGATTTCAGTTCTCTACACTGACAGCACACTGTCTATAGTAGACTATATAAAGTTGGTATGAAGGTGGAATCAGGTCAGTAAGCATCATCAGCTAAAATTCTAATGAATCTCTGCTACACTTCATGTAACCTTACTCTGACCATGAAACCGCAGCCAATGTGCACCATTCACACACTGTTCTTTAATTTAAACCCATCACACTACAGCAAACTAACCTGTTTATCTTCCATTAACATGCAGAGACTACCTCAGTTTGTTTAGCAGCATGTTTCACAATATGAAAAAAAAAAATAACAAAGTCACACGTACAGACCCAATATCTCATTTAAAAATGAGATATTGGGAGAAATGTACATTTCCAGTTTATCAGATCCCACTGAGCAGTCCTTACCTTTCAATCTAACCTCTCTTCTTCCTCTACTGTCCTGTCTTTCTTATCTTTCTCCATCTCTGAGTGAAGCTAGCTCTCTTTCATTTCTCTCCCTGTGAAATACAGCAGCTGGACCTTTAGCTGTGACAAATTACAAAGGAACAGTTTGTGTGTTTGCTGATGTTTGTTGAGCTGATCAACAAACATCAGCTGCATTTCATATGACCTGCCACTTAAAAAAATGTTACTCCCTTTAAGCTCGCTCCTCCAGAATAAAAAACAAAACATCGTTCCACTTTTAACCCCTGACTTTTGCACACAATATCTCTTTTTATGCGCGATAACGCATAAACTTTCTGTTTAGGCTCAAATCGGTTTGATGTTTGAAGGCTCGCAATGATAAAATAATAACTCGACCCAAATGTGTTAAAGCAAAAGTAATGAGGCTGTTTTGAAAATGTAAGTCCAAAGTACAGATATTTGTTTAGAAATGTAGGGAGTAAAGGTAAAAAGTAGTCAGAAAACAATTCTCAAGTACTGATACATGAAAATTGTAGTTAAGTACAGCAACAGAGTATTTGCACTTCGTTTCTTCCCACCTCTGACTTTAAAACAGTAAAAAGGAAAATTCTAGTTATGGGAAAACACATTATTGCCATAATAGGTTTGTTATATTTTAAACAATGAATAGAAATAAAACCAAAAAAACCCCAATTAAATTAAATTAAATAGAAACATTTGAGATCTGCGTGGTTGAAATATTCAGGGAAAAAAACCCCTCAGAAATATTGGGATTAAAGTTAATATATTCACTGTAAATCAAATCAAAGGGCAAAAGATCAGGTATAAATGCACAATTAATGCCACTTTACATTGTTTTATTTATTTAATTTACCCACAAGTAGATCATTTTATATCGGATCTAAATTAGTTAAGATGAATTTTAAACTACTCATTATACCAGAATAAACATGATATGTCATATTTTTGTCCATTTCTAATCATCTGTATTAACTTTATCCTTTGAATTATTATCAGTTTATTAACTGTACAAACGTTTTTAAGGGAGATTTATGATAGCAAATTAGGAGAATTATATTTTAAATAAATAAACATTATCTAGAGAAATCCTGAGTTTCTTGGATTGAAGTTTCTTAAGAAAACACACATTGCATGACCTCTGATAGTATTAAAAAATGTTGTTTCAAATGTACATTTTTATTTTGGATGCTTTTCTCTCTGGTATATATAATAATTAAAAAACACACACGTATGACAAAAGCACCAGCCTACAGTTCGTTCTTTAGTGGACGCCTTTAAGGTGACCCGGAAGTGTTTCTATTTACACCGGATATAGAGCTTGTCAATGTGACCTGCCTTTACTCGAACACAGTTATGTTTTAATGGACGAGATTAGATAAATACTTAGAAAATGTTTCTCACCACAGTAAACTGTAAGTATTTTATTCTCTTAATGTCTTCAAACAGCACGACGCATGCGTACCTAGAGCTCTCCCAATACGCTGTTTTGGGGTTAGCTGATGCTAAAACGTGAGCTGCTCTTAAAATATACGTCTGTTCTTGTGGGCAGTCATTGTGAAATATTTTATAATAAATTGATTTCACACGTTTCAGTGGTTTTGTGTTTTAGAGAGATAGATTTAGCTTCTGGATAGTACAGCAGTATGTGTTCAGTGTCTATTCACTGGGCTTTGTAAGTGTGGAAATCTCAGAAAGCACCTGTGCTACTCGAGAGGTAGTTTTTCTTTTCATTTAGATGTGTAGGAGAGTCTTTGAGTTTTCAGCAGATACTTGCACACAACCTTAACAGCTTTAAGGACTTTCTGGGGCTGGTGTTGGCGAGCTGTTAGAGCAACGGGATTTTAGTGGAAACTTGCTGAGTGCTGCTGAACGATTTCTGTTGGATTCACACGCAAACGATTCTTTCTTCTCTTTTCTTTTTACAGTGGCGAAGGCAAAATCCAAGTAAGTGCACTGGCTGATTCTTTGAAAGTCTAGTCAATAGGCCTCATTCACACATGAAGCATAAGGTTGTGCGTAAACCGTGCATATTGAGGATTTACGCGTAAATTTCTGTTTCATTAAAATAATCTTAACTGAATTTGCACTTCGGAGTAGGTTCCTTCAGGTCATGGAAACGAACACGTGATGAAAGCCGAGCTGTCTTAGAGCATTTAAACAAACATCTTTACACTTAATACTATTACTTATCCACATGTTGGATCCCATTCCTAATGCAACTCTAACCGTTTGTCCAAGTCGAGGTCAGGCAGGAGTCTCGTGGGATGTGATGTTTGTAGACGGCATTGTAATCTTTACTGGGAGTAGAAAGCAGATGGAAGAGCGTCTGGACAGGTGGAGGTATGCTCTGGAGAAAAGAGGAATGAAAGTCAGTAGAAGACAACACGTGTAAGTGAGAGCAAGACAGGTGTAACCGTGAAACTACAAGGAGCAGAGGTAGTGAAGGTGGATGAGTTTAAATACCTGGGCTCAGCCATCCTAAGCAATGGACAGTGCACAACAGAGCTATAGAAGAGAGTGCAGGCAGGGTGCAGTGTCAGGGATAATTTCTTATAAATCATTTTTTAGCCACAGGGACCGGAAAGTTTACAAGATGATAGGTTTGATGTATGGTTTGGAGACAGTGGCACTAATGAACAAAATAGAAGGCTGAGCAGGAGGTGGTATTATTTAAGATGGGAGTGGCCATGATGGACAAGATTAGACATGAGTACATCAGAGGGACGGCTCAAGTTAAGTGGTTTGAAGACAAGGTTAAAGAAGCAAGCCTGAGATGGTTTGAGTGGGCAGAGGAAAGATGGCAAATACACTGGATAAAGGATGTAAAGTATGGAGTTGCCAGGGAGGAAGAAAAGGAGGACGGCTACGGAGAAGATTCATAGATGTAATGATGGAGGACATGCAGAAGGTTTGTGTGACAGACGAGGATGTTAGAGATAGAGGCAGATAATACAGTGTGACAAACCCTAAAGGGAGCAACCAAAAGAAGAAGACCACTACTAATATGAATTGTTATTATTATTACTCATTTCATTTTGGTCATTAGTTACAGGTTTCCAGAATAAGATAAGCAAAAAGTTTCTCAGAATTGAATAACGAACTGTAAGGAACTCAGGGTTTGACGTGAGCACAGGGCCGGTATAACCGTACGTCAGGCAAGTTGCCTCTCCAGGTGCTGACTTTGTTTCCACCTGTCACAGCAAACTGGCTAAAGCCACCCTCACTGAAGAATATTTTTCTCTTGTTTTGTCATTTCAAAGAAAGCATGTGATATTTCTGAAGCAGAGAGTCTATTATTGTGTGACTATTAAGGTGGTTTCCTCCTGTGACTCTAACCCTTTCTACTTCAGTTGTGCCGATTGCAGGTAGTGCACACAAAACTGATGGGTTAGAATAATCCAGTGCACAAATCCAACGCTAATTTTGTGCAGAGGTTAAGAACATTCCTACACGTGCACCCATGAATGAGGCCTGTTGTTAGTGTTTCGTGTTGAAATGGCAGTCACCTCTCTGTGTGTTGCTCACCTGTCAGGACCATCCTGGTGCAGATGATGAGTGCTGCAGGGACCGGATACTTCTTCAACACAAAGAGAAACCGACTCAGAGACAAACTGGTGCTGCGCAAACACGATCCATTTGGTAAGAGCCGTGTGAGGACAACTATGACACACAAATACTCATTAAAGCAAAGTCCATGTAACCCAGGATATCTTTTCCTTATCTGGCTTCACTTATTCAAGCAGCAGCAAGCAGGCTAAGCAGTCACATGAAGGTGTTGGCACTTTAATAAATCACTACTTGAAAAGTGAACCCAGGGTTTCCCAATCTACCTTTGAGCACACGACAGTATATGATTGTTTTTCTTTTAACTTGGAAACTATTTGTATTTAAACGTTCTTCCCAAAGTGAAAAGCTGTACCTGATTCTAAATTTGGCAAACCTCCAGTTCAAGATTATCTTCTCGGGCATGTCCAGAAAGCTTCAATCGTTGCTGCTATTTTTAGAGATGTCCTTGGCTGTCCTGTTCTGACCATTTTCACTGCAAGTTTCATCATGACCTCACTGTGGTCGCAACTGGTATGAGAGCTGGTGCTCACAATTTTGACACACTGGAGGGGATACAAACAAAAGAACAGGGGGACAAATATAATGTGACTTCTGCTGAGTGATCCAAAGAGTCCAAGCGTAACACCTGGAATAGATTAGTCCAATTTAAAATCAGCTAAGGATTCAAATTTATGGTGTGTTGGTCACACCTTCACACCTTCTGTTCACCCCAGTGAAAAATAAACAAAACCCATATTTGGAGTGACCCTTGACTTCCACCTACTTTCTGCTTTTTGTCTTTTCAGTGAACAAGCACGTCCTGTTTTTTGAGAAGAGGAAGATCAGATCGATTTAACCGCAGCACACCGACACACACAGATGGACAAAATGAACTTGCAGAGGTTTAAAGGCATCGTTTTTATTGCCGGGGATGGTACAGCGAGTTAATCTGGTTGACGTGTTTATCAGAGGATTTCTTCCTGGATGGATAAAAGTGGAACTCCAGGCTTGAACAAAAGAGACTTGAAACCAGAAAAGTGATGTTATGTAAGGGGACCACCGCTGCCATGATCTGAAGCTGTTCATTGGTTCAAAATAATTATTTAATCGGGTGAATGTACTTTGTGAAACATTTGTTGTGGTTAATTCAAATAAAATAATCTCAATGATTGACTTATCTTTAATGGTAATCAGTTTTAAGATATCTTCAGCAGCAAATTTTCATGAGAACATTTAGTGTTGAGTCTCTCTGACCCCATTCAGATGTGGTCCCTTAACATTAGGGTCTACTGCTACTCCTGGAAGTATTCATTTGGGAGGTCCCGTCTGTACGGAAAAGACGTCTGCGTGCCAATTTCCCGCACGCTCACCCCTGCCACCAGATTGGCTCTGCGGGCCATCTCCTCCAGAGGCATGTGTGGGTGGTTGGCCATGTAAAATGCCAGCGCTCCAATGAAGCTATCACCAGCACCCTGAGAAGAAATAAAACAACAATGCATGGTTAAAGGGACCTTATTTTCAAACAGGTGGCAGTTAAATACCGATAAAATTTCAAGTAATGAGGTCAGAGTATGTGGAGCCAGCTTTATACAGTTTTTTCTCTTGGTTCTATATTTTACATAGTGACATTTATGAGGGGCAGCCAATCAGAAGAAAGATTGCTCAAGGCAGCATGGAAGAGAGCTAAAACGGGTCATTTCACGCGGAGGATGAACTGAGCTGCACTGTAGCTCAGTATTACATTTGAATGTTTTGAACTCTGAATCATGCAAAGCTACTGCAATTGAGTCCAATATTAAAAAACAGGAATCTAAAAATTAATAAAATCCCTCTACAATCTATATGGCACAATATACCAAATAAATTATGCAATTTTAATCCCTTTTATTTCATTTGTTATGCAACCTGGCTAAATAATAAAATACTAGCATCTCGGGCAGATTTCTCCAGATTTCTTTTTGGGGAAAAAATTTGGGTTTTTCATCAGATTTCATTACCACAGATTTGTCGCGTACACACCCCTCATATCTAAATGTATTAACCTGAACTCTTTTCATTTAAAAGTGTATATACTCATTTTTGGTTCCCTTTTGGTCTGAGCTACTTTTTTTATTAGTATAAGCTGTGGATTTTTACCATCTATCATCACTACTTACTTGCTTTTTCTGCTATTTATCCATCGCTGTTAACAATTTAACCTCCTTATAAATTATTTTTAGCAGTACTACTATTGGCATTTCAGGCTATTTACAGGCCCATAAAAAGGGCCTTAAAAGGTAATAGATTGACTTTTAAAGGTTCAAATTACATCACAGCATTGGTTTACAGTTTTAAGATTTGCATTAGGTTACTGAACAACTACAGCTTTGTCTAAAAAAAAAAATTCTTAAAAAGGGAATAATCACCCACAGTATTCATGTTAACTGGCAATATTCAGTAAATATTCTGGCATGAAATTATGCTGACACTGGCTTGTGTAAGATAGAGAAAAATATTATATTATTTAATCAAAGAAACATGTTACCTGTCACTTTGTGTTAAGTTGTCCCAAATTATCTGAGTGTTTGTTACCAAAGAGCCAGACTTTATGAGAAACTTTCGAAGTTTTTGTTTGGACATTGGCTGCTTTTACTCATTTTCTGTGAATTCCTCGTCATTTTCCGAAGAATAAATATATATTTAAAAAGCCACTTAATAGATCTATGAATCATTCATTCAGGAAAAAGGCTCCTAACTCAAGGGATGAATCACTGTTGTGTCTACGCACAACTGACAATTTAACAAAAAAAACTTATTTTAAATTGTATCTTTAGTCACTTAGTTACTAACAACTTGTAACAAAAACACATAATTTGTTCTCATGTCTTTAGTTGAATCTACAAAAAAGGCCAAACAATAAAAATAAAAATATTGGGCTCTTAGTTAAAAACATGGCATATATTTGCATGGTGTGTCTGGACTAGACAAGTGGAGGACAAAAGCAGTAGCATGCATGAAAAAAAATTATATCTACAACAGATGAACAGTTAAGCTATATCCTTGAAAAGAAAGCTAGCAAAGACCTTCAGATGATCTGTCAATGGAAATATTCTTAAGGAAGTGAAATGGGAAGAAAACAGTGGACTGAAAATCAGAGGGATCAGGTCTTATGAATTGTATTTCTGTGTATTTTTGCACATGGATCATTCTCAGTGTCAGATTTCTAATTTTCCAGGCAAAATATTAAGATATGAGCCTAGCTCAAGACTTTTGCACAGTACCATATTCTTACGTCCAGCTGACAGTTTATCAGTTATTAACTGTCTTAATCCCTTATTTGTGACAGCTTAATATTTCACTACTTTTATCTTTTAGTCCATTAAACAGCAGCTGATTCTTTACAGAAATATTTTATTTATTTATCCATACTTACCCCTAACTGAACCTTTACAATTGTAGCCTGACTTTAAAAGGGGATGACAGCTTTTTATTCTCTACTAAGTATTTTAATATTTTGAAACACATTTTAGTTTTTCACTTCTACTGCTTATTCTTCTGTTTTTTAGCACACATTATTATTATTATTATTATTTTAATATATATTAGTTGTGTTAATCTTTCCAAGGTCCCCCAACTACTACTGAAGTAACCTTTTGGAGTAGCTGTAACCCTGGACTATTGTCCCAGTCAACAATTCCTGAAAACAAGCTGGAGGGGGGAAAAAGTAAATTTAAAATACTTGGATTTTTTTCAAATATTTTTCCTAAAATGCTTCTTTCTGTTTTTTTTTAAATTATTATTATTATTTTTAGAGAGAACATGAAACACACTTAAAAGACGAGGGGAAGCTTCATGTTTAAATTCACTAAGCTGCCAACAGTAGGGGGTGCTGTGGCATTTTCCAGCTGTTTGACTTGTACTGCTGCCTGCAACTAGTTTGAAATGACTTACTGGTTTGCCCTGTGTGAAAGTGTGTCTGTCGACTCTAACAAAACATCAGCATTAAGGGCTTTAATCGGTTTCACGTAAAACCAGCAAAGTCATAAATCTGGCACTCGTGAAATGCCTAAAATGTGATGTGACTGTTTCCCAGCATCCTTTAAGGATGTTAAGTGTTTTATCATCTGATCAAATGACTACAGAAAGAAAAGCCAGCTTTCACTAATTGTTTTAAAAAGTCAGCTGAGTAACACGCGGCTGCCTCCTAACCTAACTGCCAGCTCTGGTGTTTGGTTATTACCAGGAGCACATAAATCAAACCCTCATCTATTGATAAAGAAGGAATGTGCTGTGTACGCCCTGGAGGGGTGGTTTGCTGGGACGGGATGTCTAGAAGGGGTTTGTGTGTATGTGTGGGGGGGCTCACTGATGGGAAAAAGCACACTGGTATGTGGCGACATGCTCATGTTTAACCACAAATGGCCCCCCGACGCTGGTTCACACAAGCCCGCTCCATTACTCATCACATCGGCGCTCAAAAGACTTCATTGCACTCTCTACTGAGCATCTCTGTGAGCCTCCCCTGCTCATCCTCCAACTGCAAAGTAACGCTTTTGTCAAAGTGATGATTCAGTGGCATGGCGCAAAAACAAAAACCCCCAGCAACCCCCGAAATGACTTCTGATTTGACCGTTACTGCACCTCTCCCTCCAGGCTCTTGCCTCTGGTGTGACTCCTGGACGGCAGAGATGCTGGAAAGAGTGAGATCAGAGATGAAACATTTCACAGGCCTGCTGGATTTCCATGTTTAAACCCTTGGCGTGTTTATGTCTCCTGTCTGGTAGCTGGGCTGGGTTACAGTGAAGCCTGCGTTTGGAACTGAAGCTTTGGTGGAGCGGCCCCACTGGTTTGACTCTGGCCCGTCTCCCAGTTAACATGTTGGGGTTGAGATGACTTTTGAGTGAGGATTGATGGTAGCAGCCAAAAGATTATGTGATAGAAACTGGAAGATTTCAGTCTTCATAGTCACAACAATAGATGATTATTTTTTAACCACAGGATTCTTCACATGATGACGTCCCAGTAATCCCTGCAAACACAGCCACCTCTGTCTTGTCACACTACAAAGAGGTGCGGCTGGAACAGGTTTTAGATGAGCCAAATTCTTTATGAATGAAAAAAAAGCCTTTAAATGCATTCCTTGACAGACAAAAGTGACATAAAGTGGACCTATTTCTTTTTTCCTGATTGTTCCAAGTGTTACAAAAGGACAATAGACCCACAGACTCCCATGTTAAAATGAGAAATAATACTTACAGCCTGGGATGAAATCTGATTTAGTCTCCTATTATAACACATGTACAAAAAGTGGGAAAAAGAAAAGATTTGAGGGCAGCTTAAAGCCAGGGGGTGTGGCAGCTTGTTTGACAGGCTTTAGAGTAGGGTTTGACAAACCCATTAAATGTGTCACGTACATATACGCCACATATAAAGTCCAACTTTTATCTACAGTTCAAGTTACATATATATCCCATATATATATCCTACCATTTTAAAGGTAGAAAACAGGCTTTTTATCTGCTACTGCAGTTTCCAACAAAAGAATAACCTCGGCAACCAAAAACTGCAGTTCCGCCAATGGCCACCTGAGGCTGACTCTAAAAGCGAGTCCAACCCATAGACTCCTGTTAAAACGCTCATCTTTACAGCAACAGTAAACATGAATGCAGCCTGGTGCACAAAATTACTTAAGTAGATAAAGCTCTTTTTATGTGGCTGTATGGGGCTGAATTTACTTATAATGCATCCATTTAGATTTTGTTAGGGCTTAAAGTCAGAAGTGTCAATACAGGCACCTGTCTGCTGGTTGGAGGCACTATTTGAAGGCACTGACACAGAGTGTTGAACTGATTTAATGCCTTTTTGGAGCATCTTTATTTGAATTATCTGACTAATATCGCTTCCTGTGTAGTATAAACAGCCTTAAGAAGTTTTTGCTTCATTTTGGGTGAGTAAAATTGTACGATACTGTAGTATTTTATTAGTCTACACATTGAAATACACTGAGGTGTTGCTTGCCTGGTTTTCAATATCCTGCACTTTGAACCTAACAAGCTCCTTGCCACAGAACACTCAACACTCTTTTTCACAGTAAAGTCAGCCATTCTGACCTGTGACTGAGAAGCTGGCTGTTTAACAGCAGGAGGAATTCATAACGACATGGCCAGAATTACTGGTACCCCTCCAATTTAGAAAGAAAAACAAAACTTTCTCTGGTGACAGTGATCATGGTCCACCATTCTGAATGATCCAGAGCTTACATTTTATTTGAAAAAAGGCAACAAATGAAAAGGGCACATGACGCATTTGTAGCATTAATTCAATGAGCAATCCAGCCTCTTGTTTAAAATTGTTTAAAACCAACATGGCAGGGGTCAAAATACTAAGCCTGAGGCTTTAAAAAGTAGCTGTGCATGCTTTAAATAAAATCTACAATTCCACTGCACATTTTCAATTTGGTTGCAAGAAAAGAAACGTATAAACTCAACAGTTT